TCACTGACTGCTTGTGAGGCCAAATGTTACAGCAATACCCTTTTCTGTTCAAAATCTTGTTTTTGGAAAATCTGATATGTTTCTGTGTTTGTTTTTTGTGGGGGCTAAATTTGCAGGTAGTTCTTTCCCACAGCAGAACTAGGACTCTCATGAGGTAATACTATATGGCACAGTTCCATGACAACATGTGTGCCAAACTTGCAACCGAGGAAAAACCCATAAAAAGCAGATGGGTTTTCCTTGAGCAGTTTCTCAAAAGCTTATAGGTGCCAGAATTAAGAAAAACATAAAGGGTCTTTGCTCATTCTGTCTGTTTTAGGCTATCCATCAGTCCTCCAGTTTTGATGGTGGAAATGGTTGGGAACACAAGACCCCACAGAGAGAAAATTGGATTATATCACATATACTGTATATTATTGGAAAAGTAGTCTCTTATGTTCTGGAATTTTTTCTAGTAGTTATACGGAGAATAGAGATTGAGAGGGAGAGAGGATGCCCTTGCTTAAGCTCAGCAGGTGATGATATGAAACAGTGAACTTTGTTTCTTGTTTGAATTTAATTTATTGGATTTCTACATTGCTTTTCATATAGAAAAATCTCAAGCTGGTTTACAGTTTAGTCATTTAACTTATTTTCTTTTAGCCAGTGAAGTATAGCACCCAGAAGTGTATTAAACTAGCATTAGGATTGACCTCAGTGATGTAGTTAGGTATTTTTTGACAATGGATACAGAATAAATGTTTCACACATACACCATTAGATAATAAAAGGGGAACCGGTATGATATATTGGTAGGAGCAAGACTGCATCATGGAACAAAGGTTGAAGTCGTCATTCAGCCATGAAGTGACCCCTCAGTCTTCCCTACTACACTGGGCTTTTGCGTCAATAAAGTATGGAGGAGGTGAACATGCCCACTCGCACTCTCTCACTTTGAGCTCATTGGAAGAAAAGCAGAGTATAAATGTGACTAATTAATGGTATCTAATAAGTGTGGTGTACTGTGTTTAGGGTTTAGGAGACCAGGATCCAATTCTCCATTTGGCCACAGTGTGAATAATTATTTCACCTCTAAAGCACTATTAAGGTTGCTGCAAGTTGCTTTTAGTAAGTGTGTGTGCTCATTCTATTGAGTAGACCCTTTAGTTTTGCCCCTAGGTCTTACTTTGAATGAACTACTGATTAAGCTTAAGCAGTTGAAATCCCCCCAACATTGGATCAAATGATAAAACTGCAGTCCTTTATTTCACTAACCTAAACCTGATTTGGGAGCCTTTGACCACGTGGCTTTGCATGGCCCTTCTGTAATTTTTGTTCCAATGCATGTTTGGCACTACCAGTATCATTAATTTTATTGTCTTAAAATTGTATACAAAAAGCTGTTCTTTTTGATGATCCAGTAACTTCAACAATCAGAGTCTCAGGTGTCAGTGATTTCAACTTTTTGGTTCCATAGATTTGCTTTCCAATCAGAAAGGGATAGTTGGTAATTAAAATACTTTATTCTTCTGCCCCGCAGTTCACACTGGTTCCACACAATGGCTGAAATCCTGTTGTGCAGATATGCAAACAATGTAACTTTTGGAAGCGAATTGCCCTAAGTAAAGAAATTTCCAAAGACATTATAAATTGTATACTGAGTTGCATGACAACTTAGTCACAGGACAAAGACAAAGTCTTTAATTATTGAAAATCTCCCCCTGCCCATGATATCACCAGCCTCCTGCAGACATAATCTCTGTAACAGGATTTTGGCTGTGAAATCGGGTCCTTGTGATTTAATACCGTTTCTTTGTTTTTGCATTTTTTTTTAATAAAACTACCATAATAGATAAATTAAGCCTAAATTATAAAAAGGATGGTTGTGGTTAGTTGTTACCCACTACAGTATAATTCACTTTCATAAAATTCAGAAATGTTTAAGGACCAACTCATGGTTTTGGAGGGCATTTTCCAGTAGAGTTGTGCTAAATTTCTCTGTATTCTCAGTTCAAACACCTGACAAAGTCTACTTTATAAATTATGCAAAGTGAGCAATGAAAATGACTTAGAAAGTGAATGAAGTGGCTAAAAAGGGGAGCTACAAACAATTATTTGTTAAATACTCTCACCTTAAGGTGGCCTTAAGCAAGCTTCTTTTAGCCTCAGCATCTATCTGATGTATACAATGTGATTATAAAAATACTGACCTACCTTCTTAGATTGAGTATTAAGTATATATATTTAATGCTGTATTTTATATAAATTTTATTTCTGTGTTGATGCAGTCAGTGAAAAGCTCACAAGTACTGGAAATTTAATCTGCTAGATTTTCAGATTCACCGAGCATTGAAAACTCTTTATTCTGTATCCATAAGGGTTAGAAGTTTCCTTAAAGAACAACCACTATCTTCCAACTCAGTGGATACATGGCATAAAGCTTTCACAGTATCTCAATCAAAATGTATGAGAAACAAAGAGCCTCCTTTGTAGTTGCTTTCAAGACTTCTACACTCCTTGCCAAGGGATTCTAGGCTGTCCTTCTGCCTGCAAAGGTCTTTTTATTCAACCAGGCCTCTTTCAATTGGTGGCCTAATACAATTGAGGGATCTGAGGCTGGATATCTCTAGTTTATTTTTTAATGCAAATGCCTTTGAACTCAGTATTTCATAAAAAGTTGTAATTTTAATTGTATTTTGATGTTTGTATTTATTTTGCTTTAGCTATACTGTTTTTTAACTATTCTTTAAGCTGTGTTGGGTCCCAGCCCTGGGGGAAAAAGTGTCATATATAGACTTTAAATATATTAAAGAACATTGGACCTTATGGACACATCTGTCAATTTCAGTATCTCCCACAAATGGTTTTTTTTCTTACGTCAAGTATTTTCTGTCCTCAGTATATATAAAATAAGTCTGAAAAATATTTTAGTGTATGTCTATAGGGTGATCCCTACTGATATGATTGTAATCACATTTGTATACAGGTGTCTAGGTTCCAAAATTTTATACATTTTGGTATTACTTAACAGCTGTGCCACTTAAAATTTTTTACAAACAGCTGCAGTCACAGTTATAATTGTATTGCTGTGGGAAGCAGAAAATAAGGTAATTTCAACAGCAGCTATGTTCATACTTGCTGGAGTAATCCCCATGCAAAACAATGGGTAATTGTACTGTTTATTAAACAGTTATAGTTGAGGAATCATGTGCTAATGGGGATGTAGTCACTACAGAATCAGGAGCAGGAAAATCAGAATTCAGCCTTAGATATGTTCACTGTTAAAAGTGGGATGGGCTCTCTCACCCACCTTGCCATGTTTTTGTGAAAATAAAAGGTGTTTGTGCATACAGAATCACAAGGTCCTTCAGTGAAGTTTGCACTTGGTACAACAATGGTGTGTCACTAGTGCAACCTTAAATCAGAGGTTTCATTATGCTCAGATTTTGAGACAGTACAGAGCATAAATGGCTCAGATCATCTTGGACTATTTATTTACAGATACTATAAACTACCAGAAAGGTAAACGTGTTCTAGAGTAAATCATGCTGGAACCCTCAGGAGAAATGAGTTACTAAATTAAGGCTATTGTACTTTGGATGTACCATAAGAATACAAGACCCACTAATCCCCTGCCCCCAGTAATGCTAGGAAAGTGTAAGGGTATATGAGAAGAGGAAGATCTAACACAATATGGATTGATTTAATAAAGGAAGCTATGACTGTTAATATATTTCAAAACCTGAGCAGGGCTGTTAACGATAGACCCTTTTGGAGATCATTAATTCATAGCACCACTGTAACTTGGAAGCAGCTTCACAGTACATAATAATTTTGTTTAATAAAATTATTTTAACATGTTCTCCTTTCCCACATTTACAGCTGATTCACACATGAACCTTATCTAAATTTTGGGCAAGATAGACTAATAATTTAAATACGATTAGATATAATTTTCCTTACACTTAACACTTATATAATGTGACAGTAGCAACTCTGTTATACACAATATGTTGCTGTCAAACCACTACTTTTAGATTCAGGCCAGATTTGTCTTGCTGATTTCAATGAAATTAAACTACCTTGATTCCGAGTACCTTGTCTTAATAATACTTGAAAATATGGATGGCTTTCTGTATACAGAGTTATGAATGAAACTGGGCAAGTAATATTGCCAAACCACAGCATTAATATATCCATAGAATATACCATCTTAATTTTGATCTGTGTGCATACGCCTTTGTTTGGTGGCAATATACAAAATCCATCACAGCAATCAAACCAATCCAGATGGAATATTGTTGTCAGTGAAGTGATAACTTGTACAGCTTCTGGAATGAGGCAGGGAAAATGCTCCTCAGTTTCACTAGTGCAATATTTCATATTTGCGCTTTGCAAAGAAGCAATGACAGGTAATGCCAATATCTACTGCGAAGATTACAAGATTAAGTAGATGAAGTGTTCTGAAAACTCCAAAACCCTTTTGCCTAACACTAGAATATTAATCTTAACATATTTCGGTGTTGCAACTCAGCAGTTAAGTGGAGAACCCCCTTTATAAAGAAATGAACCCGAGGATCTGGCTTAGCAAAATTCAGTAGAGTTTTATATAACAACTGACATATTGACAACAAATCACCTGTGATCATCTAGTCCTCTTGGGTCTATCTAACTAACTTCTAGTAGAATTCAGTCGTGTATGTGCTTATGCATCATTGACCAACTTACAACCATTATTTTATACACACATGATGTTTACATGTGAACAAATATGTATCAGACTGCAGAAGGCAAATATGAAGTTAAAATGTTTTTGGAAGCCACTAAATGGTCTTTATAGAAACCCTCATGTTTATTCTTGCTTAACTCTTGGTGAGCTCAGGTGAGTGTATGGCATTTACATTATCTGACCATTCTCTCTCTCTCTTTTGGTTATATGGAATAATGGGGGAGGAATTAGAAAGTGGTAGTCATTTTAAGCCAGGCAAGAAGCACCTTAGTAAAAGTAAATACTTCTCAAATGTATTTTTGAAGACAATTTTTATATACAAAATATAGAAAATAAAACTTCTAAGTTAGGTTTTACAGATCATTTAGTAAACACCATGGCTTTGGATGTTTTTGGATATTTAGCACTAAGCCCCACAAGAATTGTTTTATTCCAAAATAATTGTTAAAATCACACTTGTACATCAGATACATTTATAGTTCCATATAACACACATTTTCAGCCAATTTCTTTTACTCATTTTATCCAGCTAAATTAATGTGAAATAAGGAAAATACTAACTTTAAAATATTAGGTGACAGTTTTTTGTTCGGATGTATAATCTTTATAACTTGCGCCCACCTATAATGTGGCATAAAGAAAAGTTCAACAAGTATGAGGCTTTCTTCTCAGAAAAAACTTTGACATGCTTTGGTAAAATTAAGCAAACTGTAAAATTCTAAAGTTTATCCATACAGTATGCATGTAAAACAGTAATGTTACATAAGGGCATTATAGTTATGTGGCAGTTTACTGGGACAAAGATATATATATATTTAAGAAAGTACATTAGCATTTGACATGGTTAAAAAGAAAATTTTGTTCTATTACCTTAACTGTTAAAAAACAAGCAAAAACTTATAAACAAATTTGTTATTTTCAAGCCCTACCCAAATGATTAGCTATGTGTGCAGAAGTCTTAAATTCAAAATAGAAATGTTAATATAAAGAAAGGCCAGTTTTTAAAATACATGCTGCAGAAACTCCCAGCTTTAAGTGAAATAAAATCTCTTTAATATCTCACTGTGGCAAGAGAAGAGGAGGAATCCAGAACAATTGTTGCATGGTACATAAAATAAACCAGTTAAGAAAAACCATCTACTGCTAGGTACTGTCACAGGCGAGATATATCTTCCACACTAATTCCAATTGAAAGTCGACAACATTCCCAGTTATCCCTTTTCTGGGTGTTCAATGCTTTAAAGCAGTCAAGCTTTCTGAAGATAGCAAGCCAAATTAGTGTCTAAAATATAGTGATCACATAAATATAAAACACATGATCAAGCAAAATACTTTAATTAGTTAATCATAAATAGATCCACATAAAAGTTGATTAAATGAATTGCAAAGTATGTTCCTATGTGGATTCAGATTTCATTTTTAATATGGATTAGTCAAGTTTATTTTTAACTGAGATAGTGATTTGTTGTCCAATCACCAACACTGGAGCCCATTAAGCAATTCAAACTCTCTAATTACATTTTTTACACTTTCTTTACAAAAGTTAATACTTCTGTACATTATAGATATATATATACATATATTTCTACAATTTACGTATGCTGTACTGAAATTCTTCATGGAGAAAGTGGTGAAGTCTTCAAACGTGAATTATCTCTTTTATAAATTCATATAAACAGTATGGATCACTGCACTTTGGCATCTCTGCTGGAGATCATCTGGAAAGGCTATCATACTAAATGTTAAGAGAAAGGGCTCTCTGATGTTAGATTTCATTACGAAATACTATTCCACATTGCTATGTAAGTTCACCAGCTTAAAATAGACAGAAGCACCATGTTGTTGCACTATTGGAAATGCATATAAAACCAACTTAAAATATACTAATAAATTGCATCAAAGCCATCACTTTTTTTTAAACTGAAGCAGAATTGTAAAATTCATCTGAAAATGTGTGTTCTGTCTTTTCAGCTGAAAAGCAATAGATAAGAGTGCTGAAGAACCCATGCCTGGTTTTATCATTTCCAGTGTGCTTATTTCACAGCTGATGTTTGGAAAAGAAGTCCAGAACTGTTTTGCTTGTTCTGTTTCATCCTTCTCACTTACAAACTTGTTGCTGAATATGAAGCAAAAATTCATAGTATGAAAATGCTGCTTCTGTCTTGTCTTCAACTAAGTGCTGAAGAAAATCTGCCTTTGCAGGGCTTTCTTCCCTGAAACAAAACAAAAAAAGCTTGCATTATTTTGCTATTTTCACATAGAACTTATTGGATTTAATACACAATTCTAAGGTTCAACAAGGACACTGGACTGGGCAACAGCAATGCCAGCCCCTGACCTGCCTGGTACAAAGCTTAACATCTGATAATAACAAGCTAGCAAAATCCTCAGAGTTATCCACTCTAGTTTCAATAACAGACCCTAGAACTACAGTCTTAAAATTTTGTCAACCATATTTTATTAGACCAATATGACACTGCAAAACAGACAAAAGAGAAAACAAACAGCTAGTCAACCGTTTTTTCTTAAACTTTCATTTCTACAAGCAAATTGTTCTACTTCTAACACCAAGTCTTTCTCACTGCCATCCCATCAGTACTTCTGCAGGCTGAATATGCTCCTACCCAGTTTTAGCATCCTACAGAGTTATTGTAAACATCTTCAAGATTCATGCAAATTGCTTTACAGATATAGAAATACTTATTGCTACTACTAGTGTGAGTCAATGATCAATAAACAAAATACAGCTCTGTTATATATGAATACTCACTTTATGATTTGAAGCACTGGGCTTAGAGGTTTACTGTCCATAAGCCATAATATAAAGGACCGGGCTCGCTCTGAAGAAAGAGTATCTAAATATGGAAGCTGTGTCTAGAAGAATTAAACATTACTGATAATCTTAAACAGTAAAGAGAGATTATATTAAAACACAGGTAAACATCAATGATGTGTTTCCTATGTCAGAAAGCATATAACAATGCTCATGCACTGCCATTTACTTAAATTATCTATATTTAGTCTACATTTTAATTTTATTTAAATTTACACTGCAAGCGAGTTAATAGAAGAAATATAAATAAACAATACATCACAGAAAGCAATAAAAATAATCAAATGTCAGAAGGACTAAATCAAAGAAACTCTGTCCAAAATCTATTATTTATGCCTGCTGGCATAATTCAATTAACATATATCACTGTGGCGAATTCCAAGAACTTAAGTTAGCATATTTGCTGCTACATGACTTCTTGACCAGCAACAATCTACCAATAAAATCTAAGCTAACTGTGTTATGCCAGTGTAAAAACTCAACAGGATTTTTACTTGTGAATTGTTTCACAACTTGTATTTATAAACCATGGATTTATACTGCTAACAACCAGAAGCCATTTTAATGTGTATGAAAGCCACGGGGCTCTAATACAAACATGAATGTACTTTAGAATCATTTTATGCAACATGAACTCAAGGTGGGAAACACATAGGACATGGTATATCCTTTATATCTGGGACAGAGCTACGTGAATACAAGCACAATTCCAAATTAGGGAAATCCCCAGAAGCAAATCCCCAGAGGGAGATTTGAACTATGGGAGTTCAAAAAGTCCAAGAGGCTACATTCATCTTGAGATATGTGAATGCTCAAATGAAGAGTTACAGAAAAATCTGGAGAACAGGAACAGGAAAGGAGGGTTTATTCCAAGGTTTTTACCCTCAGTTTTTCCAGCTAAGCAACAGGATTCTGGCCACTAAAATTACATCTCAGAAAAGGAAATCTGTCCTCAATTCTATGAAAATATTATTTACAAGTTTGGTATATATTTAAAATGAAACATTACCAGATTCTGAGGTACAGATGAATAATTAGGGTATCCAAGGACATCTTTTATGAAGTTATTATCACAGCTTCTTCCAATCCAAATGAAAAGTATCTAAAACATTTTAAGAATTGTGTCAATAAAGTAAATATATTGGTTTAGTAACATACAAAGTCAATCAAATTATCTTACTTATATTTATTGTTTGTTTATTTATATAAATGATTTAAAAATGATTTCAGAGCACATGATTACATAATAATGTTGTTACACATTAACTTAATAGTTAACTAAAAAAGTTTACAAATCTATCACAATATTGATAATGGAGCATTTCTTAAAGATGCTAACCTTCTTAGGGATTATCTTACATTTACTTCATATACTAGGTGCAATTAGAATATCCAGTGTTATGGACAAGTAATGAAACAGATTCCCAGCTATGTGACTTACCGAGCCACAGTCCATAAGAAAAGCTCCTTCTCTTGTCAACTTCTCTGCAGACAATCGCTGAAGAGGGGGCTGGGGTACTACCCTATCATTCACATGTATTGCACCCTATAACAAGAAAGATGCAATTATGCCTACAGCATATAAATTTGCCTTCGTTGAGCACACTCTTAAGTAACAGTGTTCAAAAAAGCACAACAAAACACAGAGAAAAAGAAATTATACACTGCATTAAGAACATCAAAATTACTTCCAAATGTATCAGAAGATAGCCATCTAAACACCAGTCCAAGAACAGGATTCAAAGTTTTAAAGTGCAGTAGAGGGTGGAGCGAAAACTGGACTATTAGAAAAGTTTGTAAATAAATCCAACTAACTGTGGGACAATTCCTAATTAATGAGCTTCAAGATCATGACAAAACTGATCAGCATTGTACTGCTGCTGTAATGGAGCCAAAATTCACAAAGTTAGGCATCAGGTTCTCTGATTAGCAAAGACAATTAATTTATCTGTGATCTCCTTAGGCTTATTTTTTCTCTTTGGGTTTTGCTGCAATCGTCATACTAGCTGGAGGGAAAATAGATTTTTCCAGGAACTACTGCAATGAAAAATATGGGATGGGATAGCCCAATCCTGATGAACAATTAGGACTCAATACAATACTTTTATGCACTACCTCCTCTATTTAAACATGAAAACTGGTTGTTAAGCTGATACAGACCAGTACCATTTTTTATATTCCCCCTTGGAGACGGAGCTGTTGAGACTATCAAGATGAGCACCCACATTGCAGAGACTGCCACTTGTCACTACAGTATTGTATTTTATTCTCAAATAACTGGTTGAAATAATTTTGGGGTCTTTTCGTAGATCTTATGCACTATAATGAAAAAAGGGTTTTATTTCTGAAACATTAATCTCAATATTCTCTTCAAAGCTCACTTCTGTGGCTCACAAATACAATACTTCTGATGAGAAGTATCATTTAATAAAAACAGAACTCAAGTAGTACCATAGTCATATCAAAGTAATAACGACATATAAAATAGAAAGAACAAGCAAAAAAAGTAGCAGCAATTTGAAAATGGCTGAGTAAATACAGAAGTTTTATCTGGAGACTAAACACTGAGAACAGCAAGTCAGGCAGAGTGCCACAGCCAAGAAAAGCCTTCTTTCTCACTGGTCATCAAACAAACCTCTTATCACAACAGAACCCATGGATGATTTCACTAAGATACTGTAAGCTTGTATAGGGATGGGCCTTTTGTGATTAAATGAAAGATCCAAAGCACGAATGAGGCTTTCTTGTGTAATTTGTTTTCTTCTGCTGAACTCAAAGACAAGATAAGCATGAAGTGGTACAGGATATAGAACTTTCCCAATATTCTAGCAGTTTTAGCTGGGGGTGACTTTGATTGTATTTTTGGTCTTATTTGCTTTCTTTGCTTATGGAAAGAGAGGCTTTTTTCCCTTTCCCTTTTCTCTNCCCCCCCCCCGTATGGGGCATTCCCTGTTTGATTGATTTCAAAAAACTGTTATTTGGTTAATTTACTGTATGTTTATTCTGTTAAAGGTGTATTTTTGGTGGTAGATTGGAGCACTGTTTTGTTTGCTTTGGTGGGTGGGTGGGCGTGGCCCAGGGCAGTTAAAATTTTGTCTGTGCCAAAGTGCCACTGAGCTGTGTGGTAACCTATGTTAAGTTTGATAATGATTTCTCTTTCTAATGTACCATTGTCTGCTTTTGAAGTAAACTGATTCTCTACTGCTTTGCCTCTGCTTTTGTGGAATAGTTTAAGAGTTCTTCAATTTTTTTTTGAATGCTAGAAAACACAAATAGGCAAAGACATGATGAACGATGCAACAGAAGCTTTTTTGTTTCTTGTAAAACAAAAGGACTGCTACATAAAAAATACAAAGAAAAATGAAAGTGATATCCTGCAAATGAAATATTAAAATTTTACCTTCCACATCCCTCAAGAATGATCTTTCAGAAACCTGAGTCCTAAACAGTAATAGACTCTGAATGTTTAAAATGAGTAGTTTGAATTGCTAGGAAACGTTGGAAGCCAGGGCACTGGAAGATCTTTCAAGACAGGTAAGATATTTATATGACCTTCCCCAGTTAGGAAATCAGCTACTGTACATTGAATCAAAGAAAATTGTTGGACAATCTTAAAAAGCATGCAGCATATGTAATAAAAGAAGTATGTACCTCATCAGTAAGTCTGTCTATCCTGTATAAACTGGGATATATCATCTTTATCAAGTGAACCAGAGGCTGACTTTTGATTTGGCACATAGCATATACACGATCATCCAACCGTGTACTCGTGCCTGTTCGAAATGCTTTCTGTAAAATAAGCAAAATATTGACCCAAACAAAGTTGGTTTTGATTACTGTCATCATTTAATTAGAAGCCCCCTCATTCCCAGTAGGCTTTATGCCCCTCCCACAAATGGCAACATACACAAACCAATGATCCCTCTGAAACAGCTGATGAATCTCTCTTCAGTTTCAGAAGATCTTTGTTCTGAATCAGCTGTTCTAGAAACAGGCCATCAGCCTTCCCCTGGGTGTACTGGACTAGTTTGTGCAGCTATAGGATTCTGGCCAAGAGTTGGTGGTTTTTGTTTAGCTTTGCTTTTTAGAAAAATAACCTATATTCGAGCTAGTAATTAGCTTTCAAAAATAATTAAAAATAGGTATGAATTTGTTCCACTGAATAGAAGCCAAGGGCATTACACAAATTAAGCTTTGTGGCCCTGCATATAAATACATGATAGAAAGTATTAAAACTATGCATTTTTTCCTATTATTTGTTTGACATTTGCCTTTAAAAATACACAGTTACAGCCCGTATTTAGATGTACAGTACCTGCTTGAAGAGAGCCAAAACATACAGAGGAAACAGCCTGAGAGAATTTGGAGCAATCAAAGCAGATTGTTGAAGGTTTGATGCAGTTGACATATATGCAGACAATGAATCTACTACTGCATTCACTAAGGCATCTCTAGCATCTGATAAACTTGATGAAATGGATCGATCTACAGCTGTGGAAAGTGAAGTAGCAGCAAATCATTAAGAAGGAATCTATTAAGGGATAATGAGCAGCATACAATATTTTGCTATTGCACTTAAATAATCTAGACGGGCATTTCACTAAATACCTATGAAGATAATAAACATCCCAATAATCTGGAGTGCTAATGGTTTAAGGCTAAAGTGATTATAGGGTTAAGGGATACAGTGTGCATAGTAGTTATGGTACTGGGCTGGGACTTCAGAAATACAGGTTCTAGTCCCCCGAGGTGACAAAACAGTGGGTGACCTTGGGCCAATCATTTTTAGGAATGGTGTGTTTTTTTTTGAATTTGTGAAGTCTGCAGAAATTTCCCCAGCTAGACTTGTGGGAGCTTTAAATCATGAAATGACAGTCCTGGCAGGTGTTCTCAGGTTCTTATGGTAATGAACTCAGGCTCTAGCAGTCTTCCCCCGCCCCTTGTGGAGAAGAAAGGGGAAACGAGTGGACAGGGCAATTCCTGTGAAACTGTCAAAGGATGATGGGTATAGTAGTCTCTGTGCATTAACCTCTGCACAGAAACCATCTCAAAAAGCCACCGTTTGGCAATTTCTCCTTTCATTAGATGTATTTTATTCATTTAAAATATTATTTAGACTATTTTTACACCACCTTTCTCCTTATATATGGGACTCAATCATTTAAAGAACAATACATTTTTTAATTACTATGGGAAAAATCTAAATATTTATTTTCTACTCACCCATATTAGCTAAAAGGCATACAACTGCTTGTACATCTGCTCCAGCATAAACATCTGTCAGTGAAGTCACCACAGGCAAACAAAGAGTGTGTACCCTAATCCTCCGTTCACCTGTATTAAAATGAGCAGTACAACAAAGAACTGTATTTATATTATTTATATTATTTATTTATTCGATTTTTACCCCGCCCCTCTAGACAATGTCTACTCAGGGCAGAGTATATTATATTTCCTTCTCTAAATATTTATGTCACAAAGTACATTTCTAGGGCAGCAATAAACGAACTGGCTGAAATTCTGTCATGCCGAAAGGCTAATGACATCATCAGATTTAACAACTTTCTAAATCAAAAAATTCTGGTTCCATCCCTCTCATGAAGGTCCCAAGGCTCCACTGGGATACCTTTCGTTGTGGAGAAGCTGTTGGAGGGAGGTGTCATTAATTTGTGAAAATCACCATCACTGTTAAAACCATCTCTGTAGCAGCAATTTCCAGAAATTATATTCCCACACCCCCAATCCTATGCCACCCACCTTCCAAAAGGCACCCTGGGGATAATATGGATCCCAAGTGAGCCTCAAGACCTTCAGGGAATGGGGGGGGGAGATAGGATTTTTTTTAAATTTTTGCTATCATGAGGGCTGCTGACATCATCAGCCTTACATAGCACAACTTCTGGCAACAAGATTTCAATATAGCTATATACCACACATTTAATTACAAAGCACACATTGTTGCTAGAAGCACCATCTCCATCTCTTGGGCTGTAACTTATTTTTAGAAGGACATCATAAATGATTACTGCATTCCTCTGAAGTTACCTTTACTGGAAGTATACAAAAGCGCTGTCTGAAAACAAACCAACGATGTGTCTGATAGGCTTTCTTCAATGGACATCTGTACTGCAAACCCAGCGTCTGGATTGACATTGGCAAGTGACAGCAAATCAGTTGATCTCACAAAAAAGTTACCATGGAAGGTGTGAATTGAAAGACCTAAAAATAAAAGGCAGTAAAATAAAATAGCATGTGTTGCAAAAACATTGTTCAATTTTAAGTGTGTTACCCTGAAATAAGTATTGTTCTTTCTTTTTTCTAGGGTATATACCTCAGAAAGTACACTTACGTTTTGAGTCCACACTTCCCAAAATGTTTTCAATATAAACCTGTTTGAAAACAGGTCAGAGAGAACATCTGTCCTTATGCCACAATGTGCCTTTCAGCCTCTCATTCCTATCACCCTGGTGGGTCTCTGCTAAATAGCCTAAGTAGGAGCTAGACTGGATAGTTGTAGCCCCATTGTACTGCCCCACATTGTACTATCGCAGCCTGACATAAATAACTAAAGTCATGGGCATGGGGTTGTAGCAGTCATTATGAACTTCATTTCCCATGAAGCTGGCAGTTTATGTTAGGCACGTGTGTTACAGTGCATTCTAGGTAACAAAATGGTGGCTGCTAACCACCTCACTCAGTACTGTACTTCTCAGCACTAGATCCCAAATGAAAGAATGCTGGCATCTGCCACCATTCTTTCTCTCTCTCGTTGTAGTATTGCTGTTAAGATGCTAGAATATCTCCATGAAGCATCTATTATTGTCGTCTACCAATGAGTCCTCCATTTATTTTTGGGGTTAGGCTGATATGGTTGAAACAGGCAACAGAAATTCGTTGGGACAAAACAGAAAATATTGTTTAAATTAATTCTAAAGTACATCTTACAAGTTCCACTAATATCTGATGCACCTAATACTGAACAAAGTTTACCTTAGAAGTCATACCATACCTTTTGTACATCTTATTCTCATGACTGCTTCAAATCCAATCTTTCGTGTAAGGTATCTCTTAAGGTCCTTTTGCAATTTTTCTGCCTGAACTGGGTTGTGAATATGATGGAAAGACGGATAATAATAGATGCATCCAGCAGAGTATTTGGACATACATGCTTTTTAGGAGGAGAATAAAAGAATGGTTAATATGCCTCCATTAGCAGCAGCATTCAGATTTCAATTATTAAAGAAACAAATATTTAAATTTCGGCTCTAGATGGTAACAAAAAGACTTCAATTTAGGTAAACAAACTTTTAAATAATAAAACATGGTGTAAAATACAGAACTGTGTTAAGAATTACTTTTTATAGTGCGGAATATGAAAAGTCAGTGGGCAAAGTCCTGTTGGCATAACTTTGTGCAGGTGTATCACAGATTGAATGCTGGAAACATATAACTTACATTAATAAAAAGTTTCCTGTCCCTCTACTTTAGGCTTCAAAGCTCTGTACAGCTCCCTTTTGCCCTTGTGAAACAGCCTTTGGGAACCTCATGAAAGGAGTTGAGAAAAAAGTTCCACCTCCTGTCAAAGGTCTAAATGCTTCCCCAGAGCAAAAGGAAGACCTATGAAGCCTCAAAACCTAAAATGGGAAGATAAAAAGCTTTGTATTACTGCAGATCAAATGTTTCTGGTGCCTGATCCATGTTATACTGGCATAAAGTTACACAATAGGATTTTGCCTATTACCTGACATTCAATAATTTGGGTGGGGTTTTGCAATTGTAATTCCCACATGTGTCTTGGACACTTTATTTGGCATTTTTCAGTACAATTTAAACTTTTCAGCAAATCTGACTAAAAGTACTAAATGGTTAACACTATAACTGCAATATAGTTTTATAAAACAATATATATTTTCTCCCAGCATTCTAACTGTGTAGGATTTCATTTTCTTCTCATTTCTTTTAATTGTGGGCCCAACTGATGCATGATTCCAACGTCATTTGGTGAAAAGTTAACATGTAGAGAAGAGAAAGAAGAGAGAGTGCATGCTTAGAACTTAACATGTAGAGAAGAGAGAGAGAAAGAAGAGAGAGTGCATGCTTAGAAACTGTGCATGCTTAGAAACAGTGTGCCTGGCTCCTGCCGCCTCCCCTTACTGCTTAATTGCTTCTGCTATCGCCAAGTCCCTGCCACTCTCACCACTGCACCAAACCGATACCGCCACACACCACTATCCTCAGAAGTAAGCTGTAGGCTGTTTCCTTTCCAAGAGTAAAGCCTGCTGCTTCTGAGCATGCCTAAAAGCAGGAGCAAGTCTGCCATTTCTAGGCATCGTCAGAAGTCTGAGTGTGCCCAGCAGTGGCGGCAGGAGTAGTTAGGTGTGGGGGGACTTGACAAGCAACAAGCGAAAAATGGTTGAGTCGCAAATCAAGTGTGAGTCATTGGGGAAAAACCCAAGTCAAGTTGCTGGTGTGCCTTAAATGCAACTCGACAGTGAGTCTCAAGTAGCAAGTCCCAATTCCTGGCTGCTGCATTCCACACTGAAATGTCTGGATAATCTTCAAAAGGGAATCTTCTGTACAGTGCACTATAGTAGCCTAGTTTAAAGGTTGCCACAGTTTAAATAATTGTTGTTACTCTTAAACACAATGGAAAGCCAGCAAACAATGTTATCGAGAGAATATCACAGTATTTTGATGAAAAACTGTAAAGCCAAAAAATGAATAACAGGGTGACCTCCACCAATTTTTCTCAATTACCTTCTCTTCCATATCATATTTAAATATTTTAAATAAATAACAAATAAACAAATAAATATTGAATTTTTAAAAGGTAGTTAGGCAGTATCTCCAAAAGCCCCACCCAATTAGACTAGTATACTTCTTAGAATCAAGACTGTAACTAAGATCTTGGTATGACTATTTCTAATCTACTTTCTCCTGGGTTTTTAAAAAAATCTTCAAAATTCTAAAGATTAAGATGCTACATGAAAGATGACACAATCCTGTTCACAGCATAAGCTAAAGCACAACTTTCTGTCTGTTCCTCTTTGATAAACAAGTTGCTAGTCCCACAATACTTTGAGGTTCATATGCATGCTTGTTTGGCGTTTATGGACATTTGCACCTCTTAGAATTGTGGCAATGGCAGTTTGTTTACCAGAGAGGAATGTAACTTATGATATGGACAGGATTTTATCCAAAGTATCAAAACTGTAACTGAAAACATACAAAATAAAGCAACATGTTAGAGCCTCAGAATTTTCCTTTACAGTTTCACCCAGAGGTGAGCAATATGAAGTTCATGGGTAATATACAGCTCATCAGTGGGTGGTCCTACTGCTTAGATAGGAAGTCCTGACTGTAAAGCCAAGCATCAGGATTTTGAATTTCCACTGTGGTTCTTAGGAAAGGCACAAGCTGAAATTATCCAATGCTTGTGCAAATGATGGCATTATGCACCCTGACACTTGTACAACCTTGAGCAAACTGCACAGTCCCAGAGTATTGCCGCTGACAAATCCAAGGAGCCTCCCTTTTGCACTGCTGAAATAGTTCACTCCAAATTTAACAGAATATGACAGAAATAGTCTGTGCAAGCTAATAGCTCTTACCAAGAGAAGCTAAATCAGAGTATTGAGAGCTTAAAAGGAACAAATCCACAGCTGTTTGTTGTCCTGAACAATCTAGTGCCAATTTTTTATAAAAATCTGTTGCTGGACCAAGGTGCTGAACAACCTAGGAGACAAATAAAAAAGACATTGGGGAAAACCTGGTATACAAATATACAGTCAGTCATTCAGTAAGTAGGCATCCTTCAGTCTTGAAACACTATGGTAACATACTCTGTGAACAGAACTTTGAACAGCATCTAGTGTGACTGAAAAGGCCAATTTGAAAGTGACAGTCCCTTCCACATTGAAGACAAATTCAATCTGTCCCCGTCCAGCTCCCTGATTTTGCTGGTTTCGGGACTGCCTCTTTGCCTCAGCCTGCTGAACAAGTGTCTCTTCAAATTGGGAGAGGCCGTGCTGTACCGTCTGCCTCCAGGCTTAACACTCAAATACCCTCCAGCTAACACCTGATTTTTCTCTTTGTTTATTTTTATTCTATTTTTCTCCCTTTATTTATTTTTATTCTATTTTTGCATTGTGTATATGATTTATGTAATTCTTTGTATTATTTTATTGTTTATATTCACTGGAAGCCGCCTAGAGTGGTCTTTTAGGCCAGATGGGCGGGCTTAAATCATAAAATAAAATAAAATAAAATAAATAAATAAATACACACACAAATACATTTTTTTTAATTGCACATTTCTAAATTATTTGCAAATTAAACAGAAACTGCTTACGTTTTAAGTTCATAATATTTTACCTTGCTAGTCAAACACTATGTCAATGTTTGGTATTGTTTCCTATTGCCAAAATGTAAACATCCACTCATACCCTATTTGCTAGAAAGTGAAGCAGCCTCTTATCTCCAACAGAATATATTAAATGCATTTGTTCCAGAATATTCATACTAGCATTACTTTGCCTCAACATAAATTTATTTATTCAGTTGTCATGATCTGTAAAACTCTACCATCATGTTTCAACAGATGATATATTGAGTACTTACTGACAAAGAACTCATGTGCATTGTCGGCAGTGTCCATTTTTAATCAGTGGTGTTCAGAACAATGAAATAATAATTTGGACACTGGAATGATGTTTGGGGAGATGATGCACACTTCAGCTGATGATATCTAGGATTATGTTTATTTGTCACTAGGATCAAGGAGAAGCAGTACACAATACACATTTTCATATCCTATCTTCACAAGCTGAAGGCTCACCATTTACTTTGTTTAAATTAAGCTACAATTCTTAACATCCTACATTAATCCACAAATGGTTTTCTAGTCACCACAAAGTCCAAAGTACCTTTGTGCTTGATCTTTGATTGGGATCTTCCCTGGACTGCAAACGTCCTGTGCCCAATGATGGCAACTGTGTCTGAAAGACAGATATACGTCCACCTGTTGGAGACATCAATTTAAAGGCAGCTTGAAGGGCTGGGCCTAATGCACTGTGTGTTTCTCTTGTATTGGCGAACATATTTGGTAACGCATTCAGCAAGTCTTTAATGAGCTGGAAAACAAATTAAATAAAATTATGAGGATCTTTTCAGCCACTTGGTCCAAGATAATTCTAAATTAAAAAGCAAATGCTCAGGAATCTGACTGGAATGCCAAGGCTATACTCTGTGATACCTCTATTATGAACACTAAGCTTTTATATCAAATCTCCACACTTTCACTGAATATTCCACCTTGACTTTTTTCACAATTGCTCTCTTTCTTATATACAGTGGATCCTTGACTTACAGACGGCTTGACTTACAGACTTTTTGAGTTACAGACTTCTCTGGCCGCAAAATTTAGGTTTGACTTGCAGCCTGAGAATTGACTTACAGACCAGAAAAAAACCAAAATGGAACAAAAACGGCCTGTTACAGGATTAATCGGTTTTCAATGCACTGTAGGTCAATGGAGACTTGACCTACAGACTTTTTGACTTGAGAACCGCCTTCCAATACGGATTAAGTTCTCAAGTCAAGACCCCACTGTACTAACTTCATCATCTGATGTTTCTCCAATCTTCTACCAGGTCATGATTAGAATATGAGAGGAGGAACTTCAGAATCTCTCTTGGAACGGCAGTCGCTTAATACACATCTGAATGTGTATTCTCAGGTCAAGACCCCACTGTAACAGCCACTGTTTCATGTCTTTGCATATATGCAAGTTTCACTGGTTATCAACAGCTCTTTCTGTTCCAAATTATTGTGATCTAACTGGATAGTTTTCTTCCAATTCATTTTAGTTGCCTCTGATTTTATTCTGCAGGAAATCTATGTATAAAGTCCTTCCCTAAAGACAGTAGAGGCTTTACCTCATATCGTCAGCCTCCCCTTTCTCGAAATCACATTATGATAGAAGGCAAAACCAAAATGGAAGTAATTCAAAGCTGGAAGCAATCTAAGATGCTATCATCTTAGATTTGATGCTTTAAAACCAGTTAGAAAATAATTTCATTTTAGCATTTTAGTGTTTGGCAAACTCACATGGAATTTTTATCCATCTTACCTCTTTACTTTCATGCAAATTAACAAGTAAACTATCAGGTGTAGGCAGGAAAACATCTATGGAGAAAAACATGTTTTAGTACTGAATTCCTGCATTAATGTAAAGTATTTTAAAAGTCTATTAAAATAATACATTACGGCTAGATGCAAGGAGTTCCACAACCGAGTAAAAATCAGTTATACAAAAAATGCATACAGGGACAGTTAAAAATGGGGTTTATCTCTTAATCTTCCTTTCTAGCTGCACTTTAATGCTGCATTTGTATGTTTCTAGGCAGACCAAACCTACTAATTTCATTATTATTAACCTAATCTGAATCACTATTATTCACATACTGAACAATGACAGTACTTTGTTTCATTTGATTGTGTCAGACACTAGTCCTTAAAAAATAATGTACTACTGCAAGCACTATACTGCATATTAAAGACAGCTATTATCTTTGAAAACAGAAAAACCATTATTAATTACTTATTGATTTATTATTAATTAATTTATTGTCATTGTCATTATATTCTTATTCAATTTGTTTCTGAGACAATTAGGTTTCTTACCATCAATTTCTGAGACAATTAGCATCTGAGGCTGTGATAATCCTTCCTGCAAGTTATAGAACTGAACAGTACTGTCAAATGTTAGGAAACCTATTCTTGTTCTGGAATCTCCTGGTAACCTTGAGATTAGAAAGAAAAATTATCATGAAACATTGTCTTAGAACAGACACATTTCATTTAATCTAATATTACAAAGAGTTGATCAACAGACTGAATTAACTGCTGCATGACAAGAGTACCAATCAAATGTGTACGCCTTGGTGTAGCTCTGTATTTAACCCAAAACCCGTCTGTGAAGCTGACTGATATTTTTCCTCATACTTACCTCAGAATTAAAAATGCTAACAAGCTCTTATTATGGTAAAGTAAGAGGGGATAGAAGGAAGAAGTTCAAGCCTTGCTGTCCTGGGCTTGGACTGATCACAGGACCAAATTATGTAGCTACAGTAGATGTTTATGTTTTTTGAGTTTTCCCATCCAAGAGTACACTGTTCACAGCCGTTTTCCTCAGTGTTTCAAAAGAACAAGCTATATTGCATTGTTTAAAAGGCTGGGAGTGTCTGATTATTCTTCATAAGGAAAAATCAGTGCAACCCTTGAAATTCAGTCCCAAATCTGACCTAACAGGCACTGCAGACCCTAGAGGAGTTTCCTTCTACAACAATAGTGGCTGGTCTTTACTGTAATAAAGTTCTTTCTTTCTTTTTCTTTCTTTCTTTCTTTCTCTCTCTCTCTCTCTCTCTCTCTCTCTCTCTATCTCTCTATCTATCTAGCTATCTACAACATTCACTTTTGAAAAGGAACTATCCACGTTTCAGTCTCTTTCATACTCTTGATTAGAAAGATACCCGTATGTTCACAATCCACATTATCTGCATCAAAATGAACAATGTACAGCTCTGAGGACACACACAGCCTTGGCCTTCAGACAATCCCATCTAAAATACAGACAAAAACAACAAAACAAAAACAAAGAACTCCCAAAAACCAACACACAAAGGAAGGAAAGCAGGAAGCCAACTGTTCCTGAAAGTCTCAAGAAGCTGCAATTGACTTTCCTGACAGTTTGCAGGGCCCCCTGTGCAACTTAATAAGAACTACATTTTTTTTTTTCAAAATAAGGAGGACACTTCTGGCCTCTTCAGGTTTCCTTCTTCAGAAAGGTTCCCCCCTCCACCTACTCTGGTAACAGAAACAGTCTTCCTCCATTATTGCATAATATTATTTGGATTTCCTTATCACCTTCCAATAGCTTTAACCAAAGAATTGAACATCCCATCTGAATGCTCTTCATTTAACTGTTTATCTAGAACAGATGCTATATTTATTTATTTATTAAATTTATGCCCCACCCATCTAGACCAAAGTCTACTTTGTATTCAAATCATAAATACATACAACCAAATGGAAAAAGATTCTTACTTATCTAGGTTTTCCAGCAATGACTGACATACGATTGATAAGTATCCAGCTTCTACTGCATTGTGGGACACATCAAACACAAATAAATAAACTGCTGGTTGAGGAGGACGAAGCTGTAAAAGAAAATTCAATTTTTAAAAATAACTTTATGACAGAAATTATTTATTATTTATTTATTACATTTATACCCCGCCCCTCTAGACCATGTCTACTTGATATCTTTGTTATTTACATGTTGTTCTGAGCAGCCTTTTTATAAATGCAAAGGCTCCAAAATAAGCTATAACCACCCAAAACTATACTCAAAATTGTGCAAATATTTACATCAGACAAATTTTTAAAAATTACCATGTAATCTGAAGAGGCAATGAACTCCACTGTAGAGTTTTGGACCTCAGGTCGCTTGTGAGGCTCTCCATAGGATCGTGTCAGAGGGTTATACATGAATTCTTCAGGAACTAAATCAGCATTATAAATTGTTAAATGTACAGATGCATAACTGTTAACACCATGATATATACAATCATATTTAAAGGACAAATAATCACACACACTCCCTCCCTGAATTTGAGAGCCATGTGGCAGCAGGGACAGCAGATTTCACAAAGCTTCAAACACCACTCACGATCCACACACACTCTTTTACACTGTGGAATCTTCACACTTACCATCATTAACTCTGTAGCATAGATTACATTTCCATCTCCTTTGGTCAATAAAAGAAACAAAAGGGTTGATGTATGTTCTGCACGACCTACATCTCACAATGGTATTCGATGTTATCACAGGCAATTGCTAAATAATACAGAAAAATTATACCATGTAAGTTTGAAGGAAAACTATAATAGTGTTTAATAATATTCTTCTATTCAAAGTATAAGATGCAATTAAATTCAAGTTTTCTATACATTATTCAGAGACAAATATTAGAAAATGAAATTATATATTAAGATAGCTAAAAACAAGAAAACCAGAATAGTTCAACAGTTAATGATGAAGATACAACAAATGTGCAATCATTTATTAAAACAGCTTTATTGAAATCCATGTTACTTCCTTAGAAACAGACATATATAGACATACAGATAAAACAGTAATGATTAGCTACTGAAAAAACTTTTGTAACTTCCAACATTGTGTTCTTGTTTCAAGATAACTGACATGCACAATTATATAGTGGAATTATAACTTTAATTATGCTACTACAAAGTACTACTTCACTATGATGTAGTTTATAACTATAGTTAAACATTTGACAAAGGAATGCAAACTGGGGGGGTTGGTTGTTATTTTACCGTTAGATCTCTGAAGGGATGTAGAAGCAAGCCCAAGGGAAGTTTTGCTTTATTTAACAAAGCCTGGGTTTGTGGAATATTTGTCAAAGTGCATCGAAATGAGCTAAAAGAGAATTTATAAGTGTTAATTTCAATAATTATGTCACATAGTACTATTGTTTCAATAGAAAAAAAGTCCAAGGTGCCCCACAACCCATCATTTTCTCCAAACAACTAGATGCCTAGTCATCACCAGACATCTCTATTATGATGGCAAGTACTCGCATACAAAAAGCAATATTTAAAGTTTTAACACATCAAACGGCCCATATAATACAACCACCTTGCCCTCACTTTCTTTAAAAATCCTCACCCTGCTCGACATGAAACACAGTTGGCGTAATCTAAATTTTTCATTCTTAACAACATGAGTGGACAGGAGTCTTATTTGGGATTCAAACAACCCTGAAAATTTTCATTTACAAAGAACTTCTATGGCCAGAGCTTGCTAGTATGGTATAAAGAATGAAGCAAAATATGAAGATTGTAAAGAAAAGCCTGGAGTCTTTCTTATCCAGTCTTACACATGGTCATGCAATTGTAACCATGTCAACAGTGTGAAATGATGAAGTACTGTATTTATATATGACATGGTAGTGTAAAACAAGCAGCATTCCAAGGAGATGGGGCATATTTTAATAGTATCTATCCAATTTGGGCAATACACCTTAGCTATTCAGTAACATAACTATATTTTGATGCATTTGTTAGTGTACTTTAAAAAAGAAAAAGTTAACAAAATAATCTTGCTAGGGAATTATGTTCGTCGATTTCTCATATCTACACTACTCTGTGCAGATATTCTCGTATCTATACTAACTCTATAACATGTATTGCTTATCTTGATTGGAAAGTTTAAGAACTTAATAATGAAGAGCCTCGTGGCGCAGTGGTTAAACCGCTGTACTGCAGCCAAAACTGTGCTCACGACCTGGGGTTCAATCCCAGGTAGCCGGCTCAAGGTTGACTCAGCCCCCCCAGCAAGCTGGGTAAAATGAGTACCCAGCTTGCTGGGGGGGCAATGTGTAGCCTGCATAATTAACTTAATTAACTTATACATGGGGCGGTATATAAGCAGCACGCTTTTTGCTTTAATAATGCCAGGCCATGGCCATTAGCATTGCATGTGAGTTGCCCATGTATATAATATTGGAACTGATGAGCCATGGACTTCTTACTCATCTATTAAGTTAAGGAAGTAACTAAACCTGTGAACCTGATTTCATGTCCAATAGCCAAACCACGGGCTTAGTTCTAATCAAACTGACCTATTCACGGGTAAAATGGAGACACAGCTAAAAATATATATTCTCAATTTCTTTTTAGCCAAGTAGCTGGTAGATCCTCAGATACTGCAAGGATATATTCCAAACAAATGTAACATGGTGGAATTCTTTCTAAGGAATAAGTGTTTAAAATTATCGTAACGGAATGAGGACATTAGTCAGTGACACTGTCTCACATATATACCAATAAAAGCAAGGATATAAAATAAAAATGCCTAAGACTGGAGTTTTTATACCTACTCTGGGCTGCAGTTCAGTCTCCTCAAGTCTGAATTCAAATTAGGCACAGGAGCTGGAACTGGAGCGACCGGCAGAATATTTCTATCTTGAGTAAGGTTGACTGGTCTCAAGCTCTCTGGCTGCTGTATACCTAGTCCTCCAAGACTAGCTGATAGTTGAGTCATTGTTGGGTATTGCTAGAAAAGAGCATTTTAAATAAGCAGTTACTCTATAGGATTAGCCTCCTGAACAGTACCTGTTTAATCTTCCTCCTTCCTAATTGCTTATACACTAATCTCTGTTTCACTGTATCCTCACCACAAAAGAATATGGCAGACGCCAGCCTTCCCTTTTCTCTCCAACAATAATGCCACCAACACATCTTAAACCACCTTGGATGGGCCCCTACTCATAAAGGGCAGTTTTTCGGGAAGCTATGGTGAAGAAGAAGCAGGAAAGCGTCACTGTACAAGATAACTTTCATTAATGCTTCTTTGGACTGAACTCAGTGTTGCAACTGCAGTACTGTATACAAATGAAATCAATGCTTATTTTAAAAACCACTATGTGTGACTTTGAATGAACGAATTTTTTAATGCGCAACAGGAATGATATCATCTATGCACTGAAATTCTGCAATTTGGTTGATTAAGACTACAATCCTGCTTAGACAGAAGTAAGTCCCATTGAACTGATTCGGTTCCTATGTAAATGCAACAGATGGAATAGTGAAGCAGGGCATCCCAGTAGCTCTGCTGAACAACCAATTCTATCCATTTCTGAACTATTTCCAGCTAGCCATTATACAAACTACTATTTAACTTGAATTGGTGTCCCAGTTTTATTTTTATTTTTCTTCTTCTTCCTTTCTTGTTCTTCTTGAGTAACGCCTTTTAAACTGCAGACAAGAAGTAAAGTGATCTTGTAAGCCACTTGAATCTTTCTGGCTGAAGATTGCGGTAATAGAATAAAGCGCCAAGGGATTTACTTCTGAGAAGTCTAAAGCAGAACTGTGGCACACAAATGTATTTTAGAACTGACTATAAACTTATCTGATATGCTGTAATAAATTCATGGCTGTGTAGAACAGCAAGTTGTCTGTCATGGGAGATTTTAAGAAATTTGGACTGCATAAAGATCTAGTATATTTCAGACTTGTTGGACACTGTGATATGCCTTGGCTCTGCCTGTTATTCTTCTGTCACCAAAATCACCATCAGTCTTGGCTATGGTATCGCTCGAAGAAAAAGACTCTGAAAAAAATCTTTCTGAAGCCCCACTTACTGGAGAAGAAACAGCAGAACAAAACAAAATCACTAACAGTGGTGACATCTGACAGACCTTTTATGAAAAAGAATTTTTTTTACTCTGAAGCCAAAGAATATGAATTTCAACTCTGAATTATGAACAAGTCACTAATACTCTCAGCCACCTAATCTGGCACATATTACACCAGGCACAAAGAAAGGATTTTCTTGTCTCTGACCTGTGGATATTGAGGGAATCCAGAATTATATGAGGAGCTACCAGTCTGTGTAGCAGAAGGTGGAAGAGGTGGTGTTACATTTTGATAACCAGGTTGGAGAGTAGGGTAGCCATAGCCAAATGGCTTAGAGGTTCTGGAAGTCTGGGAAACCGAAGGAACAGGTACTGGACTACTTGTTGTAGAATGTGCCTCTAAACAGGGAAGAAAAAATTGTTTTCAGACATAGCCTTGCTCATCAAAAAAGCAAGAGCTGCAAGCAGCTAAACATGAGCACAAATAATAATATCTGCCAATTAATAAATGCATTAAGCTAGACTACAGTTAAATACTTAACCGTACAGTTTTGTGTGTTTACTTGTTTATGTATCACCTTTCTCTCCACAGGGGTCTCAAGGCACCTCACAATCAGTTAAACTGTTCCCAATGTTTTCAGGGTTTAATGCAAATAAGTGAAAGACTATTAAGCAACATACTGTAAATGGTTTTCGAAATGAGAAGCATACCACTACGTTTCAGTTCTTTTAATTTCTAATAATTAAATAAATGTCAGTTTGGTTGTTGTGGGTTTTTCGGGCTCTTTGGTCGTGTTCTAAAGGTTGTTCTTCCTAAAGTTTCATCAGCCTCTGTGGCCGGCATCTTCAGAGGACAGCACTCTGGCCACAGAGACTGGCGAAACGTTAGGAAGACCAACCTTCAGAACACAGCCAGAGAGCCCGAAAAACCCATAACCATTAGATCCCGGCTGTGAAAGCCTTCGCAAATACAAACATCAATTTATTCTTCTAATAAGGCACTGAACATTTTAAAATGAAAATAAATCACACAAAAACTTTCGTATTGAACCTTTTAACTTTAAATCAAATAGGAAATTATATTGGAAATTAAGTCTGCATTTTACTGTAGCCTTAAAGCACACATAAAGAATACATTCTGTGGCATAAAACTCTACAAAACATAGGCAAATACCAAATGTATGCTTATAATAAGTAAGTTATTCATCTCTAACTACTTTCAATATTACAGAGTCCAGTCATATGCACACATAAGGAAGCCGGTCTCAATGAAAGCATATGTACTGAATTCTGAGGAAATAGGTTTAAGATTGTGACTCTTGCTAGAAACTTGGTGAAAGGAAAACAGGCAAAACTTGGTGAAAGGAAAACAGGCAAAACTGATCCAGGCATTCAAGCCTAGGGTAGACAATGTGTAGCCCAATGCTGCATGTGTCATTTCCTAGGCTGTCTTCATGAGGGTGTCTGCCACCTTAAACTGTTGTGGCAGTGGCACAATTACCAGCTTTGTTATATATAAACAAGGCCCAGGGGATGTTCCCTGATTTTGTAGAGACCTGTGCTTCTTAATGGCTTCCAGATTCTACACAGAAGGAAGACATCACATTCCAGCTTTTTTTACATGCATAAAGGCTGTCGTTTTGCTGCCACCATAGCGGGGGCCAATTCAACAGCATCAACAGGCAAGAGCTGTCGTACCTAGGGAATTCAATGAAACACCTCAGCCCCAGAAGCAGCCTATTCTTAGTTTCAACGATTATGCAGCATAATTATGTACAATTTTATTTGAACTTGTGGCAAATCACATGTACTCTCATCTCTCATGCTAATTCATTTTTGTATATTTTGTATAAAGGTTTAACTTTAGTAAGTTCATTTCTTAGAATTAATCTAAACATTAAAATTTTTTAAACAAAACACAATTCACCTGGATGGCCACCTCCTTCTAGGGTATCATAATTGCTAAGAACAGGAGACACACTGCTGGTAGTAGAAGAGCTGTCAATAGCTGAGAGAAGACACAAGAAACCATGCATTTATTCAGCTGATAATATAAGCATGCTGTAAATGTTTATCAATGTTAAAATTCTAAAGGAAATTAAATTCTTTTTTTTTCTGGCCAATTTCACATGGTGATTCAGATAGTACTTTAAAATATACAAGTTAATTTAAAATGTATGAAAACCTTTAAAAGGGTAAAACTGATACAATGATCTAAAAGACTTTAATGGAACATTATACATTTATGTTAACGTTTCAAGTCATTCTTTTCTTCTCTCTTATTCTCTTTCTAGATGCACATTATCTTATAACTTTACATTCTACTGTTCCAAGGTAGTGGAAAGCATCTGTAAGCATTAGTAAGAGCACAGTGCCATCTGAAGTCTAACGATGATGGAAGTGTCTAGATCTTGTCTGGATGTACGATGATGGAAGAGTCTGGATCTTGTCTGAAAGAGAGTTCCTGGTACTTACTGCCAAGTGGAAGATTCCATTTCCAGGTGTTCAGTCAGAACAACCTCCTTCAGGAATACATGCTTTTCAGGCAATGATAAATATAGCCATACATGGAATACATACCACATAGTTGTGTTGTCAAAGGAAATACACAATAGAGTGAATCCAAAGATTCCTTAATCCAATCAAAGATCAGACTCCATCAAAGAAAAGAATCTCTGAACCAATCCAGATTCAGAGGTACAGTACTGTACTGTACATGCCTTACAAACTAACACATTGGCAGGCAGTGAGCATCTTTGTAAACACCGGGAAATGCATAAACTACAATCTGAAAAACTTCTGCACAATGCTCAAGCTTGGACATGACACAGAAGGATCCAAAAAATGTTTATGCATTTTATGGCCTTTTAGCAACTACAATTATCAGGTGTGAAATAAATATACACCCTTATCAACTTTTACCTGGCAACTCAGCTTAATATTTAATGCAAATAATGAATTGGGCTTTGAAATACATATTTTGACCTAAGGGTGCTACAAGCCATATCTACTAGAGCTATAGAATTTCTGGAAATTGACGCCCAACCCCTGCCCAGAGGCTGCGAGTCCCAGCAAGTCTAAACCCTACAAGGCAGTGATCTGTCCATGAAAATGGAACTTCAGAGAGCTACTCCACATCCTGTTCATCATGATCCTGCCCAGCACAGAAGTCAAAACCCAGAGTGCGCCCTGCAACATGAGTGAGGAAAAACACCACTTGGGCCAAACTTATGGTTGGTCATGGAGGACATGAAATCTTGAGCTACCCCTGATAAGGCAACCTTGGCATAAATGTTGAAGCTCATCACCACCATGACTCAAGGGAACTCTAGCATTAACCCCACACACACACACACACAAACTCTGGAAGGAGGATTGCTGAGCCCAGGCGTAGATGGTACAAAAAGAGAACCCCTATTCTTGTCTCTGGCATGCACTTTCAAGTATACACACTCAAACCCAGAAAACTGGCCTTGGGTCCTTTTAAGGAGAAAAAAGACACACACACAGATAAAGAAACAGTGGGAAAAGGCACCTGGTGATAAGAACAGAATCACAAAAGATTACTGCAACTTGACTTATTGGCTCTCAGTTCTGATCTGAGAACCCAGCTGGGCAGAGCTAAGAATCCTGCATGAAGCATGACTAATTCAGGATCCAAACCTAGTCTTTGTATTATGCAAGAAAATCTGGGTCACAACTCACTTTGAGAGTCCCCATAAATAGCAGTCTCTCCTCTTCAGACCTGTTTCTCTCCATACAAAGGGAGTATGACAATGCCAGAAAGAGAGGGAGGAAAGCCTAAAGTACTCTGTTCTATTCATGGTGATTTGTAACAAAGACAAAGTCCCGAACAACATCATATTGAACATTATTTTCATTTTGTAACTAAATTATTCCAGAGTGGATTTAAATTTTTAAAAAATAGATTAAAATTTACATTTTATAAATCTTTTTAAATTTACATTGTAATTTAAATCAAATTGATTTTTAAAAAATCATTGATTTTTATCCACACTAGATTATTGTAACACTATGACCAAAAGCATATAGAATGTGATTTCCTGACAGTCTTGAAGTCTTCTGTCTACTATGCTTAGGAGACCAAATACCTCTAACTAAGCCCTTGGAAACCATAATTAGCATCAAGCTTTTAATCTGCTTTAAATGGATTGTACAGAGTTAGAACAACTGTACAAGCTAAACAAAATAACACATTTTTCATCTCTCTAGAAGAACTTTTCAAAACATATTAACATGCAATGCTAAGAATGCTGTATTATGGTGACACTTCAGGTAACAAGAAAATAGAACGGAGTTAATAACAGGAGAAAACTTCATTTTTACTCTGCTAGAATGAAGAATGTGTTTACATCCATTAATGTAGGAGAAATACAATTTGAAAGATTTATATTCAACACTTGTAGTAAAAAAGATGTTAACATATTCTTAAAGGCACATTCAAATAATAATTGGCAACCCCACAAATTACCCAGAGGCACACTACACACACAAATACATAGCAGTTTAACAAATTATATTTTATATAATCTCTTTACCCTGTCTTTCTCCTTAAAAGGACTCAAGGCAGCTTAAAAGAGTTAAAAGACAATACAGTGGTGCCTCATTTAACGATTGCCTCGCTTAACAAAGAAATTGCTTGATGATTAAGTTTTTGTGATCGCAAAAGCGATCGCAAAACGATGGTTTAAATGGGAAAAATCCGCTTCACGATGATCGGCTCCCTGCCTCGGGAACCGATTTTCGCATTACATCGATCTAAAAACAGCTGATCGTCAGGTTTCAAATTGGCCACCAGGTGTACAAAATGGCTCCCTGCTGTTTTTAGGAGCCATTTTTTGCTATACAGGCACCCGCAAATGGACGACCCTATGGAGGAGCTTCACTGGACTGTGAGTTTTCAGCTCACTGGAATGCACTGAACGGGTTTCAATGCATTTCAGTGGGCTTTTTTATTTCGCTTTACGACGTTTTTGCTCTACAGCGATTTCGCTGGAACGAATTAACATCGTCAAGCGAGGCACCACTGTATTTAAAAGCTAAAAATAGTGAGTATACAAATATTAAAAAATAATTAAACAACTACCCTGTTTCCCCCAAAATAAGATCTAACCTGAAAATAAGGCCTAGTACGATATTTCAGGGTGCTCGAAATATAAGCCCTACACCAAAAATAAGCCCCAGTTAAGTGAAACCCTGCCCTCCAAGATTGTGCAGCAACCAGAAGATGACATGACTGTATTTGAATAAATGTAGATTGTTGTACATGAAAAATAAAACATCCCCTGAAAATAACCTCTAATGCATTTTTGGAGCAAAAAATAATATAAAACCCTATCTGATTTTCAGCGAAACATGGTTTTATATAAAAATTGTCAATAAAATCAATACTAAAAACATATTTGAAAACAACAGAGCACAACAATCCATTTAAAAAAACCTTCTCAGGTTGCCAGTCACTAAGAAAAATCCTGCCTGAAAAGAAAGGCTTTTGCCTGCTTGCAGAAGGACAGGAAAATTGGGGCCAGCTTAGCTTCCGGGAGTTCCAGAGTCTGGGAGCAAAGACAGAGAAGGCCCTCTCCCATGACCCCACCAAGAGAAAGGCCTCATTATCTTAACACTCAGACAGGCTCATAAACAGAGATGAGGTCTTTTAGATAGATTGGACCCAAGATATCTAGGGCTTTATAGGTTAAAACCAGCACTTTTGAATTGTGCCCGGAAACAGATTGGCAGCCAGTGGAACTGTTGTGACAAGGGAGTTACAGTATATGTTCTCTGTAAGAACCTAGAATTAGCAATGTGGCTGTGGTGTTTTGGATCTGCTGAAGCTTCCAAACACTTTTCAAGGGCCAGCCCCATGAAGAGTGCATTACAGCAATCCAGCTGAGATGTAAATAGGGCATGTGTCACTGTGGCCAGATCAGACCTTTCAAGAAAAGAGTGCAGCTGGTGCACTAGTTTTAACTGTGCAAATGCAATCCTGGCCACTGCTGAACCTGGGCATGTAGGTTCAGAGATGAATCCTGGAGCACCCCTAAGATGTGAACCTGTGCTTTCAGAGGAAGTTTAACCGCATCCAGTAGTATTGAAAATTGTCATTCTGATATTCCCAATATTCTGACATTGCTTTAGCAGTTCCAGACAGTTTTCAAAAGAAAAGAAAAATCCTGGTCACCTTAAATTTACAGAAACTGGAATTATCTCTGTCTTGCATATACACTGTGGCAACAGGAAAAGAATCACATAACATTTAATTGCCATTATGTTAACATGAATGTAGTTTTTCACATATCTAAATTTGACTATGCTGTAAGATGAAAGGGGCAAATTTTCACAGTGATTGGCTTCAAAAGGTATTTATTTATTTTGTATTCTCTTATCTACAACATCAATGCCTGAAACATATCAACAGTAAATGGGAAACTGTGCCACTGTTTAGGTTTCTCAAGGACCAAGGATGATCACTAGGATAATTTTTTACCTGTCAACATTACCATGTACTAAAAATCGTGACAATCTTTTCTCTCATAATTTTAACCATAACGTCTGCCTTTGTTTATCCAGACTGTTCCAAGGTCAGGGTAATTCACTATATATAGCATTATTAAAATAATGAAACAGTGATGGAAATCTGACTATGAAAAGTGAGAAATGCTAGTGCAAAGCTAAAGCAGACCTGCTTCCTCATCCTCCTCATCCTCTTCCTCATCATCTGAACTTGATGACAAGGGAGTTCCTGGAGAGCTAGCTTGGTTATTAACATATCCACCATACTGCATGCCTGTGAAGTGGAAAGCACAAACACAAGAATCAGACACACAAGAAAAGTGTGAAACTGAAAGCACAAATCAAAGCATTAAAAGCAACACCAAAACCAAGCATCGCAAAGGATATCCTAACATGAGAGGTCAGACTAGAAAAGTTCTCTTTACAGACATTTAGCAAGGAACTTTAATGCTGTGGCTTGATTAATTATTAATGGTAAAGAAATTTAGTAGGATTAGAACACAGTTTCTCACCCAGAGTTTTTTAAAAGTCCTACAGATTTAATCTTCAGGCTAAGTTGTGAAATAATCACTGTCTGTACTTTGGGATAATTTTATATCCCATAAAGTCAATTTTTACCCTTTGAAGAATAGCCAGCATCCCTCACCCCAGCATCCCTCTCCCTTTGGCACAAAAGCTTAGAGCAAGCATTTCTCTCTTCCTCTCTGAAAAGTTAGTATCCTTGCCCCTGGCTATTGAAGCACACTCAGCTTGAAGTCCACACATTCAAGAATTTGCAGAAAGAGATATAGGGATGAGTAGATTAATTCCTTAGTACAGAAAGATTTTTGTGATGTAGTTTCCTGCTGGCTTTGCTTGTCTACCAGAGGCTAATGAGTTAACTTTATATTTATATGTACAAACCAGAAGCAAAGCATTTGTTGTAGTGTAAAGGTGTGACTTCTTTGCAAAAAAAAGCATCATAAAATGAGCTTGAACAGAAGAAACTTTTTTTTGCAAAAACCTGGCCCAAACAGGATATGCAAATTTCTGATAAAACTAAACATATCATTACTGAACATGGCTATACATGTAAGTAACATATGCAAAGGCAATGCAAGTAGACAGGGTTAACATCACAATCCTCTGACAGTTTAATTGTGCTTACTCCGATGTGCCTCATTGAGATCAGATTCCGAATGAACATACAAACAATCAAGCTGATAAAAGGGAGCTAGTGTACCACCCAACACAGTGAGGCTTCTACTAAAATATGACTATGAAAATGAAGAGGAAATGGCAATTAATTTTTTTCAGTTACTACCTCAGTGACATGAAGATCATTAACATCTTCAAGTTTCTCAGATCTGTTTACTAAAGTCACTCAGAACTAACCTACTGGTCCAAAATAAGGTTGGAAAGTATTAAGAGGAGGAAGAGGAAAGATGGATATTCATTAAAGCTAAAAGCATATTGATTTGCCAAGTATTACCGCTCACTACATGGCATACACGGTTGTCATTGTTCGTGATGCACCAATCACGGAAGTAGCCTGGCTGGAGCTTCCCTCCTTGCACAGCCAACCACTCCAGTGAAGGGGTGGGATGAAGAGTCTCCCCACTCAGCTGCTGAGTGGTCTGTTGTGCAAGGAGGTAGGGAAGCACCAGCTGGATTGCAAACAACACCAGCCGCACATGCTGCACAGCAAGCAGTATGTGGACCTACCAGTTCTGGGGGAAAGGCCCAAATAGCCTGGTGCTGAAATTCATATTCGTCCCACCTGGGAGATGAATATGAATATCCCATGACTACTATCAACTGCTGTGGCAGTTGCGGATGGATGGTTCTGTATATTAAGCATATCCCCATCCAATGGGGATGGTTCTAAAACCTAATTTGTGAAACCACTTGTACTGTACAGTGGTGCCTCACATAGCGATCGCTCCGTTGAGCGACGAAATCACTTTGAGATGCTGTTTTTGCGATCTCAAAAGCAATTGCTTTACGATGGTCCCTATGGGGAAATTTCACTTTGCGATGATCGCAGGGAAGCGATCATCGCAAAGCCCCCATTTTCGGCCAGCTAATCGGCGGTTTCAAAATGGCTGCCAGGTAAACAAAATGGCTGCCTGCTGTTTTCAGACACGGTTTCCTCGCTTTAGAGGCACCAAAAATGGCGGCGCTATGGAGGAGCTTCGCTTAAACATGAGTTTTAAGCCCATAGGAATGCATTAATTGCGCTTTAATGCGTTTCTATGGGCTTTTTATTTTCACTTAGCGATGTTACCGCTTAGCAGCGATTTTTTCTGCACAGATTAACATCGCTAAGTGAGGCACCACTGTATTTATACATTTAAACATGTAATCTGGCACTTAAAAGTCAATACTAGAAATGGAATCCTTAGTTCTCTCCTGATTTCTTCACTTCTCAAAACTATTGAGGTTTGAAACCTTGAATAGATTTGGTAAGCTGGAAGATCTAGGGATCTAGCCAGAGGTATTTTATATCTCCTGCTCTGTGCCTGAAACCTGTAGCACCAGATGTATCAGAGGGATCTCACAACCAAGCTACTATAATGAGGCAGGCCCATCTTGGGTATCTTTGGGAAGAGAGCACAAAATATATAAATGTTATAACTGATATCTATGAAGAAAGCCAAGATGAGTACATTATAGAAATACTCCAATAGTGCTGCTTGCTGCATTATGGCTTTACATCTAATTAATGCAGTGTTTTAAAAATAGCTTAATGACTTCACACAATACACTGTATCTACAAGACTATCCCACCCTTCAGCACCATCACAGTCTCCAATATCTATCTTCTTCACTTCATCAGTTATGGACAAAGCTGACTGTAAGGACTTGTCTAGTAAATTCTTGGTAGTTACTCCTTCAAGCCGAAATACCTTTTTCTTAGGCATTTGTCAATGTCAGAACTGGAACATTTCTCAAAAGTAGTCACAACTGGAACATTGATCACAAACCCCCGATTATAGGATGCAGTATAGTATGCAATATGCAACGTGAATCTGGACACTGTACTCTGCCAAAGAAGACCAGTACTTTATGGCTGACCCTTGGAGGTAACCCACTCTCAAACAAAGTTATTGATTGCTGACTGCAGTAGTGCCCCGCATGACGATGATAATCCGTTCCATAGAAATTGCTGTCTTGTGAAAACATCGTCTTGCGAAAACCCTTTCCCCATTGGAATGCATTGAAACCTGTTCAATGCACTCCAATGGGGAAAAATCGTCGTCGTTTTGCAAAGATCGCACATAGGGAAGCCATTTCGTGAAGCCCCGATCAGCTGTTAAAATGGCTGCCCTGCGAAACATCAGTCCTGAAAATACCCATTTTGTGAAGCGCCGATCCGTGCCAAAATCGTTGTCTTGCAAGAAACGGTTTGCGAGGCACAGACCCAAACATCGTCCAGTGAAAATCGCCCATTGGAATCACTGTTTTGCAAATCGCTATAGCGATCGCAAAACCTCATTGTCATGTGGATTTGTCGTTTTACGAGGTCATCGTCTAGCGAGGTACCACTGTATCTTTTATTATAAACCTCTGTAACCCATTGCTGGATTTACACAAGGCTACTTTTGCAGCTTGATTCTGACTCCTACAATCATACTTGGACACAGAGGCTGACATCCTGTTTTGCAGCTACACCATGTTTGGCAGATGACATCATCAGTGGCAACAATTATTTTAGAACCAAACACTTTGAATTCATCCTAAAAGTCTTGAAATACCCATGGAATCTTTTTTTTCCTTGGGGAAACTGTTGGAGACTCAAGACAGAGTGCAGGAGTCTTTCATTTCCAAAATTTGCCACTACCATTAAGGCTACAGTGGCAGCAGTAATTTTTGGAAATTAGAAACACCCTCCCCTGCCCCCCCCGTCTCATGACTCTCAACAGTTGTCCCACAATGAAAGGAACTCTGTAGCAGTCTCAGAACCTTTAGAGGGATCAGATTTTTTTCCCCCTGAAAAATCACATCAGCCATATGCAGTGTAACTTATGGAACAGGATTTCAGCCAGTATGTTCTCCTAGATGTAACTCTATCTAAATAAACAAAGAGAATCAGTGGCCATCTTTAACTGACAACTCAGAAAAGATAACATGATTTCACAAGCATGTTTGCCCATGAACCTATAAAATATGAGTCAACTAAAACACTTCAACCAAGACTTTATAAAATTAAAATGCTAATTATACAAAAGCCATTTCAGAGTCAAAATAAACACCTAGTTATTACTTCTATTGATACAGATGTCTACACAAAACCTCACACAAATAAAACCCTTACAAGTCATTACATTCACACTCCTATGGTAGTTTCAAAATGCACAGAGTTTTACTTGTCTTCATATTTTAATACCTTCATGTAGCAAGGGATCGGATGGCTGTGTAACAGAAGATGATATGGTGGGCTTTGTGGTTTTCTCTGTGGCAGGTGTCCTAATTGAAGAAGTCACAGCTGAAGAAATTCCCAGGGCAGGTTTCACAGGCAGAACATTCTGGTTTACAGGATGCAGTGACCCTGAAATGCCAAACAAGTGGGCATACACATAATATGGCAATGCTGACACTGATTAATAGTTTTCTCAGCTGTATTGGCATGCCGCAACAACTAAATCCTGTAACACCTTTAAAACCAACAGTTTTAAAGACATAAGGGTTCTTGAACTGAAATCTACATTTCCTACACCAAAGTCTGCAGATGCATGAAGTATAATCCTTAGTTGGCAAAAATAAAGAGAGAAAGAAAAACTCATGAACACTTAGTCAACTTACTATAGGATGGTGTTTTACTTCTATTGAAGGGGTGACAGAAAGACTCTCTGTTTGTGCTTGGCTGATTGATCCATTTAACTACTCAGCTGCCTTGTAAGTCCAGCTGCAGGAGCCAATATGCTCTTCTGGCTGCCTTTTGGGAGGCAGCCTTGGGACAGACCACAGACAGAGATAAGTCACCAACTGACAAAACTGAGAAATCATTGTACAGTGGTGCCTCAACTTACGAACGTCCCGACTTAGGAACCCTTCGAGATGTGATCAGCTCTGGCTGCAAAATTTTGCTCTGACTTCTGGCTGGAGCTTCAAGTTGCGACTGGAAAAAGGCAGGGAAAAGAGGTGGGGAATTCAAATTTGCTAACCGTTGGTAGGCGAAGAGCCTGCTTCTTTGTAGCTCTTTCACCCCAACGGTTAGAGTGAATGTGTTGGAGGAGGCTTCAGACTGCCTGGAGCTGCTTTCTGCTCCTGAGTAAGTACATTTACTTTGTTTTGCAGGATGGGTTTGGGTTTGGGGGGGGAGGTTACGGTATGTTTGTAAGCTGCCTAGAGTGGTCACATAAATTTCTGTGTTGTGATTTTTTTGGTATTTTTGTATGTTTTTTCCCCAGCCCCGTCGTGCATTCAGAGGGGGCTGGCTGTGTAGGGGTGGGTAGGTTATTTTTCCCCCAGCCCCATTGCACGTTCAGATAGGGCTGGCTTTGTGTGTGGGGTTACTTTTTCCCAAACCGATTGTGTGTTCGGATGGGGCTGGCTGTGTGTGTGGGTTTTTTCCTCCATTTTTTCCCCAGCCACCATTGTGTGGTGGGTTATTTTCCCTCCAGCCCCATTGCCTGTTCAGATAGGGCTCGCTGTGTGTGGGTTTTTTACCCCAGCCCCATCACACGTTCAGATGGGGCTAGCGCTGTGTGTGGGCGTGGATTAGTTTTCAGCTTGTTTATTTATTTATTTAGGGGTTTTTTCCTCCATTTTCTCCCCAGCCACCATTGTGTGGTGGGTTATTTTCCCTCCAGCCCCATTGCCTGTTCAGATAGGGCTCGCTGTGTGTGGGTTTTTTACCCCAGCCCCATCACACGTTCAGATGGGGCTAGCGCTGTGTGTGGGCGTGGATTAGTTTTCAGCTTGTTTATTTATTTATTTA